AACTCAGCAGATGAACTCTCTTACAGATCAGACTATATTAAGAAGATCAGAGCAACAGACACAGAGAGACTAGAGAAGATAGAAAAGCTTTATAGAATACTCAGACTGAGTATTATGAAGAGATTGACTGAAGAGTCTCTCAATTTCTTATAAGAGAAGAGAGAAGAGAGAGAAGAGAAGTCTGTATAACTACTCTCTATAACTCTGAGAGTCAATACTCTGAGAATCTTCATGAGAATTCTTGAAGAGAGTATCTATAATCTGAAGAGTTTGCAGGCTTTGAGAAGTGCTGCAGAAGATCTGATATAAGAGAAAACAGAGTATAAGTCTTTATAAGATCTTCTATTCAGATTGTCTGAACTGTAACTGAAGAATGAATATACTTAGTATATTCAGAAACTGCTTACAGCAGAGATCAATTCTGTAGAAATAAAGAATTGAAGAGACTTAAATAATCTCTTGTAAAGAGAGAGCTGAATTTATATACTTATAAATGAGTTTCTATATATAGAACTTATTAAAAGGCATTATAACTCTTCTCTAGTGAGTTATTTTACAGATACTAAAACTTATAAGTTGCTTATAAGAAAATACTTCTGACTGAAGATGTGAGAACTTGTGAAGAAGATAGTGAATTCTTATACTATTTATCAGAATTCACAGATAGTGCAGTTCAGATCATATGAAGAACTTACTTCTCTATTCATCTTATAAAAATCTTGAGAATAGCTAGAAATGAATGCTCTTATAAGCCTCTCTGAAAGCAAGAGTATATATAATACCTGCTTTGATAGTGTGCTGATGATAGTGAATCACTTCATTAAGATAACATACTTTATACTCACTTATAAGAACTTGAAGTTAAAGAATTTAACTCATATCTTTGTCTGCAATGTGATCTGATTGCATGAATTATCTACAAATATTATCTCAGACAGAGAATTAATCTTCATAGAAAAGTTCTGATCTGATCTGATAATTATACTAAAGATTTTATAAGATCTAAGCATGACTTTTCATCAACAGACAGATAATCAGATAGAACACTTGATAAGTATATTAAAACAGTATCTGTAGTACTTTATCAATTACAATCAGAATGACTGAATGTATTGATTATCACTCACAAAGTTTATATACAATAACTCAAAGTATGTCAGTACAGATAAAATCCTCTTTAAGATACTCACTGAGACTCATTCATAAATGATCTTGATAAACTCATGAGAGTATACTATAGAGTATGATAATATCTATGAACAGGCTGAGAGAATTCAGAAAATTCAGAAGAAAGTCTGTAAATTCTTGAGAAAGACTCAAGAGTATCAGAAGAGATACTATAACTCTAAGTATATTATAAAAAGTTTCAAGAAAGATAATAGAGTCTGACTGAGTCTAGAAAATATTATTATGTAAAGATCTAGTAAGAAGCTGAATCTCTTACAGACAGAGTCTTATAAGATTATAAAGAAAGTTAGCTTACAGTTCTACAGATTGAAACTGTCATCTGAGTTACAGATATATAATATTTTTCATGTCTCTTTGCTCTGTAAATATAAGAAATTCTTAGAAGAGAACTCTGTAACTCATCACTCTGTCTATAAAGTACTAGAGAGTGAAAGAGAATATCAGATTAAAGAGATTATTAACTCAGAGAAGTGAGATTATGAGCTCTGATTCAAGATTCAGTGATAAGAGTATTCTGATAAGATGAATAAGTTCACTTGAGAATTATCTGAGTAGATAAGACATCTGCAGAAGCTGAGACATAACTTTTATACTGTGAATTCTGATAAGTTAAAATAATATAATCTTTACTAAGAATCTGATTGTGATAAAGATATTAACACTGTTATTTATAAGTTCTAGTCTATAAGATAATGAGTTTCTACTGAGATGAACAGTCTGCAGTGTATGCAAGAGAAGAAGAAATCATACTCTTATTAAAGCTAAAAAATAAGAAAATAAAAACAGAGCTGTGAATACAATTTAGAGATTAATAAAGAAAAAATAAAGAAAACTTAAATTCATATTCTTAATATTCATAACACTCAATTCTCTCACAACTACTAATTTCTCTTTTCAAAGAAGTAGAGAGTATTATATCTGTGATACAGACAATTGTTGTATTTAATATGAAGACTGTCAGAAATGCACAGACTTCAGAGAAGTCAGATATCAGAGTGCATGCAGTTGCAGCAGAATCTTGAGAGCTGATTATCTGTATATATGATCAGATACTTCTTACAAAGCTGTATCTGCTTTCTCAGTTATGCTGAAGTATTCAGCTCAGAAACAATTAAGATACAGAGAGAGAGCTTATCTACTCAGATCAATTTCTGTTATAAATTTATAACATTTATATTATTTTGATTATCTGAATTTTACAGGTATCTGAGAACTCATCTCTCATTGACAATGAAATTACAGAAATGTGTCACAGCATGAGAATTATTGATAGAAAACCTAGACACATTTGCATATGCCTGGTCAGAGATTGTGTGAGTAGAGAAGAGATGATCATAGGCCTGTAGAACTGCAGAAGACACTGACAACACTGAGAGCTTTGTAAGAACTGTTAGCTAGAGTCTGTAAGAAATTACTTATGAGAAGACT